CCCCTTCACGCTGTCCCTCTGCCCACCGGCCGGGGCCCCAGTGTCCCCAGGGAGCCCCAGCACAGTCCTGTAAGCCCTGATGGAGACATGTTCCCCCAGCATCCTGTCACACCCTGGGGTGGCGTCACCACTGGGGGAGCATCCTAGGGTGACTTACACATGCCAGGCTGCTACAGCAGACTTGGTCCTGTGTCAAGTGAAGGGCCATGCTCTAAATGCTGATGGAGGGGAGCAGGCCGCCCCCCGGGACCCCCACATCTCCCACAGCGGCACTCGGATGCCACCCCAGGCTATTCCGTGTCCCATCCAGCTCCCCGCTGATGCCCTTGGGGAAGGCGGCCATTCCTGGCACAAATACTTGGTCCCTGCACCTACGTGGGAGACCCGATGGAGCTCCTGGCCGCAGCCTTGGCTGCTGTGGGCATTTGGGATGTGAGCCAGCAGACGGAGGATCTCTCTCTGTCTGTCTGTCTCTCTCTGTCTGTCTGTCTCTCTCTCTCTCTCTCTCTCTCTCTCTCTCATCACTGCCTTTCCCATAAAGGTTTTCAAAAGTCCCAGTGTCACACGGCAAAGGCAAATATCCGCTGCCTGACAGGTTCATGTGCTGTCTTGGTGGAATGAATGAGTGAATGAATGAGAGTGGTGCAGGCGCCTGGAGGCTCCCACCTGCCCCTGTCCCAGGCACTGTGTGAGGTTCAAGGAGCAATTGGTGGCCACACCTGCTCCCCAGGAAGCTGGGGTGACCCCCCGTGGGAGGGGAGAGGCGGAGCTGTGATGCACGCCCCCCCATGCAGGAGCAGAAGAAGGCCCTGCAGGAGGAGGAGGAGCGGGACCAGGCGCTGCAGGCCAAGGCCAGCCTGACCATCCCGCTGCTGCCCGAGACCGAGCATGACCGCAAGCTGGCTGGGCTGCTCAAGTTCCAAACGCTGGACTGTGAGTGCAGAGGGGTGCTGGCGGGGAGGGAGGGCCGGGTGGCCCCACGCTGCCTTGACGCCCCCCACCCCACCCTGCCACCCCCTCCTCCACAGCCTATGAGGACAAGCAGAAGCTGAAGCGCTCGGAGATCAACAGCCGCTCCTGGTTCGCGCCAGCAGCGGCCACAGGCCCCGGTCCAGGTCCCAGCCCCGGCTGCAGCAGCAAGGCCAACAGCGTGCTCAAGAAGCTGGCCCACAGCCGCAGGCCCGCGCCCGCCGGCCCCACCATCACCGCCCAGGACCTGGGCATCGTGCGGCTGCCCAGGGCGTCACGGGAAGACTCTGGCGACAGCCCCCCATCTGCAGCTGAGACCCCCAAGGCTGCCAAGCCACAGGAGCCAGCCTCGGCACCCCAAGATTATTCTCAGCAGCACGTGGAGACTAAGGAGCCCAAGGCCCGAGCACCCAGGGGCCAGGAGGGGAGCTGCCGGAAGCCAGCCCCCGCCCCGACCCCGGCCCTGGCCCCTTGTCCAGCACTGCCACCGCCTGGAGCCCCCCGCGAGACGGCCGACCCCACCCCACCCCCCCAAAGCCTGGGTTCCTCCCTGGTAGCTGACTACTCAGACTCCTCAGAGAGCGAGTGAGGGCGGGGCACCAAGGGACTAGGACTGCAGACCCCCGCCCCGCCTTCCTGCCTGCCACACCCCGGGGGCGTGTGCCTTGGGACACCAGTCCCCCCACACACACACACACACACACAAGCACTGTCACTTTGCCCTTCCTCGATGGCCCAGAGCCTGCCCTGCTGCACCCCACCAAGCTCCCCGTCCCCAGTGGTCGGAGTGCCGTGGGTTTCTGGGGTTTGGCCTGGGATCCGGGGTGAGCTGCACAGGCTGAGCAGGGAGGGGTGGGGATGAAGGGCCGCGGGATGGGACCTGCCCTCAAGGCGCTGGCGTGGACCTCTCCTGAGTCCCCCAAGTCCGTGGGGAGTGGACTCTGCAAGGGCGTCGTCGCTGCCTTTGCAGAAATAAAAACACGGGTGAGAACCACCCCGTAGTATGCCTGTCTCAGCCCTGGGGCAGGAGTGGGCATTTAAAAATACAGAGGGGGGACAACGGAGAGTACCCCCTGCCCCCGGAGTCAGACGGTGCTCGAGTTTGCCAAGACCCTCTGGCAGGTGGAAGCTGGCGCAGGCCCCTCTGCCAGCCACGGGATGCAGCGGCCGGAGGTTCCCTGCGCCAGCGCCTTCAGGCTGGCCTCCTGGGATTTGGGAGAAGCAGGCTGTGTGATTCCCACACACCCAGTTCTAGGGCTGCTGCGCGCCTGTGCGTCCGGCTCCGGAGCTTTCCCCGCCCAGAGACCTGGTCCCGCCCCGTTCCCGTGCGTCCCGGGCGCACGCGCTGCGGAAGGCGGCCGAGCGCGCACGGCGGCTACCGAGGCCATGGCGCTGGAAGCCATCCGCTCCTCCCGGGGCTCGCTGCACATCCTGGACCAGCTGCTGCTGCCGGGGCAGAGCCGCTACGAGGCGGTGGAGTCGGTGCAGCAGGCCTGGGAGGTCATCCGCGCCATGAAGGTGGGAGCGGCGCGGCCTGGGCGCGCACGGTGGCGGCGGCGGGGAGGAGAAGGGCCCGACGCGCAAGCCCACCGCATCTCTGTTGGCCCCGGCAGGTGCGCGGGGCCCCAGCCATCGCCCTGGTGGGTTGCCTCAGCCTGGCCGTGGAGCTGCAGGCGGCCGTCCTGCCTGTACCTGCACCCCAACAATAAACCAGGCTGTTCCGCCCCGCGGTCTGGGGGAGCAGTGAACTGGGGCACCACCACGGTCAGGGGCCACTGGGGAGGGGGTGCTGTGGACTGGGGGGCCACCAGAGTCGGGGGTCCCAGGACATTTTTTTTTAATTACATTATATTATGTGACACAGTTCTATAAGCACAGGGATTCCCCCCACCCCTCCCCTAACTCTCCCCCCATGGTGGGTTCCTCCCCCCCACATCCCGTTCCTAACCACAGTTCAAGTTTAGTTGAGATCCCTTCATTGCAAGCATACACCAAGCATAGAGTCCAGCATATTACTGTCTGGTCAAGTTCAGTGGCTTCTTAGGGAGACCCTCCCCGGTCCAAAGGCAAAGCCAACAAAGCAAAATCCCAGTCAATTAAAACCCCCAACATAATATCAGCAACAATCTATAACAGTAAGAGATAAATTGACACAGTATGGAGCAAGCGATATGTCAAAATTGGATGCAAGGCCTTATCAACTTTCTGTGACTATTTCAATGACAATTCAACAATCGAGGTGAGAAACAGTTTTAGGAGGGGTGTGCAGAGAAATCTTGCATACCTTGGTGAGGAGTACTTAATGCCCGTGTCCTAACTAGTAAGGTGTGTGTGAGTCCATGCTGGCCAAGCCTTGTTCTCTGCATATCCGAGAGTGTGCATGTGTGTGTGTGTTAGGGAGGCGGGGCGACCCCTGGACTTTTAAAGTTTTTTTTTTTAAGATTTATTTTATTGGAAAGGCGGATATATAGAGAGGAGAGATAGAGAGGAGAGACAGAGAGGAAGATCTTCCATCCGTGCGCCACCGCGCCGGGCCCAAGTTTTATTTTTATTGCAAAGTCAGATACACAGAGAGGAAGATCTTCCACACGCTGGTTCACTCCCCCCCCAAGTGGCCACAGTGGGAGCTGAGCTGGCCAGGAGCCTCTTCCGGGTCTCCCACGCAGGTGCAGGGTCCCAAGGCTTTGGGCCGTCCTCCACTGCTTTCCCAGGCCACAGGCAGGGAGCTGGCTGGCAGTGGAGCATATGGGGGTGTTCCCATAGCCATCCAGAATGCCCCAGCTCAGGGACTGGCACGGCCATGTTCAAGTTCCTGGAGCTCTGCCCTCAACCCTGCAGCCGTCCTGCTGCGCCCCAGCTGGCCCCACGCCTGTCTCCTGCCCACCACACAGCCAAGTCCATCTCAGCATCTTCTCTCCTGCTGGGCCTGGGCTGCATCTCGGCATCGGCAGTTCCCGAGAATGGCCAGCAGAGGGCGGCTGTGAGCCGTGGTCAGCGGTGGTCAGCCCTGGTCAGTGATGCATCTCGGCATCAGCAGTTCCCGGGAATGGCCAGCAGAGGGCGGCTGTGAGCCGTGGTCAGCGGGCTGCCCCCTTGGCCCTGCCACCCTGGCCCACACCACTCCCAACCCGGCAGGTGTCTCTCCGTGGTGGGCTCAGGGCACACGCTGTGCCCACCACCCCGAAGCTGTTCCCTCACTCACGGGGAGACCCCCACTGATGCTCCCACAGCCACCAGCCCCGAGTCATCCCACCCCCTTCACGCTGTCCCTCTGCCCACCGGCCGGGGCCCCAGTGTCCCCAGGGAGCCCCAGCACAGTCCTGTAAGCCCTGATGGAGACATGTTCCCCCAGCATCCTGTCACACCCTGGGGTGGCGTCACCACTGGGGGAGCATCCTAGGGTGACTTACACATGCCAGGCTGCTACAGCAGACTTGGTCCTGTGTCAAGTGAAGGGCCATGCTCTAAATGCTGATGGAGGGGAGCAGGCCGCCCCCCGGGACCCCCACATCTCCCACAGCGGCACTCGGATGCCACCCCAGGCTATTCCGTGTCCCATCCAGCTCCCCGCTGATGCCCTTGGGGAAGGCGGCCATTCCTGGCACAAATACTTGGTCCCTGCACCTACGTGGGAGACCCGATGGAGCTCCTGGCCGCAGCCTTGGCTGCTGTGGGCATTTGGGATGTGAGCCAGCAGACGGAGGATCTCTCTCTGTCTGTCTGTCTGTCTCTCTCTCTCTCTCTCTCTCTCTCTCTCTCTCTCATCACTGCCTTTCCCATAAAGGTTTTCAAAAGTCCCAGTGTCACACGGCAAAGGCAAATATCCGCTGCCTGACAGGTTCATGTGCTGTCTTGGTGGAATGAATGAGTGAATGAATGAGAGTGGTGCAGGCGCCTGGAGGCTCCCACCTGCCCCTGTCCCAGGCACTGTGTGAGGTTCAAGGAGCAATTGGTGGCCACACCTGCTCCCCAGGAAGCTGGGGTGACCCCCCGTGGGAGGGGAGAGGCGGAGCTGTGATGCACGCCCCCCCATGCAGGAGCAGAAGAAGGCCCTGCAGGAGGAGGAGGAGCGGGACCAGGCGCTGCAGGCCAAGGCCAGCCTGACCATCCCGCTGCTGCCCGAGACCGAGCATGACCGCAAGCTGGCTGGGCTGCTCAAGTTCCAAACGCTGGACTGTGAGTGCAGAGGGGTGCTGGCGGGGAGGGAGGGCCGGGTGGCCCCACGCTGCCTTGACGCCCCCCACCCCACCCTGCCACCCCCTCCTCCACAGCCTATGAGGACAAGCAGAAGCTGAAGCGCTCGGAGATCAACAGCCGCTCCTGGTTCGCGCCAGCAGCGGCCACAGGCCCCGGTCCAGGTCCCAGCCCCGGCTGCAGCAGCAAGGCCAACAGCGTGCTCAAGAAGCTGGCCCACAGCCGCAGGCCCGCGCCCGCCGGCCCCACCATCACCGCCCAGGACCTGGGCATCGTGCGGCTGCCCAGGGCGTCACGGGAAGACTCTGGCGACAGCCCCCCATCTGCAGCTGAGACCCCCAAGGCTGCCAAGCCACAGGAGCCAGCCTCGGCACCCCAAGATTATTCTCAGCAGCACGTGGAGACTAAGGAGCCCAAGGCCCGAGCACCCAGGGGCCAGGAGGGGAGCTGCCGGAAGCCAGCCCCCGCCCCGACCCCGGCCCTGGCCCCTTGTCCAGCACTGCCACCGCCTGGAGCCCCCCGCGAGACGGCCGACCCCACCCCACCCCCCCAAAGCCTGGGTTCCTCCCTGGTAGCTGACTACTCAGACTCCTCAGAGAGCGAGTGAGGGCGGGGCACCAAGGGACTAGGACTGCAGACCCCCGCCCCGCCTTCCTGCCTGCCACACCCCGGGGGCGTGTGCCTTGGGACACCAGTCCCCCCGCACACACACACACACACACACAAGCACTGTCACTTTGCCCTTCCTCGATGGCCCAGAGCCTGCCCTGCTGCACCCCACCAAGCTCCCCCTCCCCAGTGGTCGGAGTGCCGTGGGTTTCTGGGGTTTGGCCTGGGATCCGGGGTGAGCTGCACAGGCTGAGCAGGGAGGGGTGGGGATGAAGGGCCGCGGGATGGGACCTGCCCTCAAGGCGCTGGCGTGGACCTCTCCTGAGTCCCCCAAGTCCGTGGGGAGTGGACTCTGCAAGGGCGTCGTCGCTGCCTTTGCAGAAATAAAAACACGGGTGAGAACCACCCCGTAGTATGCCTGTCTCAGCCCTGGGGCAGGAGTGGGCATTTAAAAATACAGAGGGGGGACAACGGAGAGTACCCCCTGCCCCCGGAGTCAGACGGTGCTCGAGTTTGCCAAGACCCTCTGGCAGGTGGAAGCTGGCGCAGGCCCCTCTGCCAGCCACGGGATGCAGCGGCCGGAGGTTCCCTGCGCCAGCGCCTTCAGGCTGGCCTCCTGGGATTTGGGAGAAGCAGGCTGTGTGATTCCCACACACCCAGTTCTAGGGCTGCTGCGCGCCTGTGCGTCCGGCTCCGGAGCTTTCCCCGCCCAGAGACCTGGTCCCGCCCCGTTCCCGTGCGTCCCGGGCGCACGCGCTGCGGAAGGCGGCCGAGCGCGCACGGCGGCTACCGAGGCCATGGCGCTGGAAGCCATCCGCTCCTCCCGGGGCTCGCTGCACATCCTGGACCAGCTGCTGCTGCCGGGGCAGAGCCGCTACGAGGCGGTGGAGTCGGTGCAGCAGGCCTGGGAGGTCATCCGCGCCATGAAGGTGGGAGCGGCGCGGCCTGGGCGCGCACGGTGGCGGCGGCGGGGAGGAGAAGGGCCCGACGCGCAAGCCCACCGCATCTCTGTTGGCCCCGGCAGGTGCGCGGGGCCCCAGCCATCGCCCTGGTGGGTTGCCTCAGCCTGGCCGTGGAGCTGCAGGCGGCCGTCCTGCCTGTACCTGCACCCCAACAATAAACCAGGCTGTTCCGCCCCGCGGTCTGGGGGAGCAGTGAACTGGGGCACCACCACGGTCAGGGGCCACTGGGGAGGGGGTGCTGTGGACTGGGGGGCCACCAGAGTCGGGGGTCCCAGGACATTTTTTTTTAATTACATTATATTATGTGACACAGTTCTATAAGCACAGGGATTCCCCCCACCCCTCCCCTAACTCTCCCCCCATGGTGGGTTCCTCCCCCCCACATCCCGTTCCTAACCACAGTTCAAGTTTAGTTGAGATCCCTTCATTGCAAGCATACACCAAGCATAGAGTCCAGCATATTACTGTCTGGTCAAGTTCAGTGGCTTCTTAGGGAGACCCTCCCCGGTCCAAAGGCAAAGCCAACAAAGCAAAATCCCAGTCAATTAAAACCCCCAACATAATATCAGCAACAATCTATAACAGTAAGAGATAAATTGACACAGTATGGAGCAAGCGATATGTCAAAATTGGATGCAAGGCCTTATCAACTTTCTGTGACTATTTCAATGACAATTCAACAATCGAGGTGAGAAACAGTTTTAGGAGGGGTGTGCAGAGAAATCTTGCATACCTTGGTGAGGAGTACTTAATGCCCGTGTCCTAACTAGTAAGGTGTGTGTGAGTCCATGCTGGCCAAGCCTTGTTCTCTGCATATCCGAGAGTGTGCATGTGTGTGTGTGTTAGGGAGGCGGGGCGACCCCTGGACTTTTAAAGTTTTTTTTTTTAAGATTTATTTTATTGGAAAGGCGGATATATAGAGAGGAGAGATAGAGAGGAGAGACAGAGAGGAAGATCTTCCATCCGTGCGCCACCGCGCCGGGCCCAAGTTTTATTTTTATTGCAAAGTCAGATACACAGAGAGGAAGATCTTCCACACGCTGGTTCACTCCCCCCCCAAGTGGCCACAGTGGGAGCTGAGCTGGCCAGGAGCCTCTTCCGGGTCTCCCACGCAGGTGCAGGGTCCCAAGGCTTTGGGCCGTCCTCCACTGCTTTCCCAGGCCACAGGCAGGGAGCTGGCTGGCAGTGGAGCATATGGGGGTGTTCCCATAGCCATCCAGAATGCCCCAGCTCAGGGACTGGCACGGCCATGTTCAAGTTCCTGGAGCTCTGCCCTCAACCCTGCAGCCGTCCTGCTGCGCCCCAGCTGGCCCCACACCTGCCTCCTGCCACCACACCGCCAAGTCCATCTCAGCATCTTCTCTCCTGCTGGGCCTGGGCTGCATCTCGGCATCAGCAGTTCCTGGGAATGGCCAGCAGAGGGCGGCTGTGAGCCGTGGTCAGCGGTCAGGATGCATCGGCTCAGCGTTCCGGATGCCAGAGGGCGCGTGAGCTGGTCAGCGGTGGTCAGCCCTGGTCAGTGATGCATCTCGGCATCAGCAGTTCCCGGGAATGGCCAGCAGAGGGCGGCTGTGAGCCGTGGTCAGCGGGCTGCCCCCTTGGCCCTGCCACCCTGGCCCACACCACTCCCAACCCGGCAGGTGTCTCTCCGTGGTGGGCTCAGGGCACACGCTGTGCCCACCACCCCGAAGCTGTTCCCTCACTCACGGGGAGACCCCCACTGATGCTCCCACAGCCACCAGCCCCGAGTCATCCCACCCCCTTCACGCTGTCCCTCTGCCCACCGGCCGGGGCCCCAGTGTCCCCAGGGAGCCCCAGCACAGTCCTGTAAGCCCTGATGGAGACATGTTCCCCCAGCATCCTGTCACACCCTGGGGTGGCGTCACCACTGGGGGAGCATCCTAGGGTGACTTACACATGCCAGGCTGCTACAGCAGACTTGGTCCTGTGTCAAGTGAAGGGCCATGCTCTAAATGCTGATGGAGGGGAGCAGGCCGCCCCCCGGGACCCCCACATCTCCCACAGCGGCACTCGGATGCCACCCCAGGCTATTCCGTGTCCCATCCAGCTCCCCGCTGATGCCCTTGGGGAAGGCGGCCATTCCTGGCACAAATACTTGGTCCCTGCACCTACGTGGGAGACCCGATGGAGCTCCTGGCCGCAGCCTTGGCTGCTGTGGGCATTTGGGATGTGAGCCAGCAGACGGAGGATCTCTCTCTGTCTGTCTGTCTGTCTCTCTCTCTCTCTCTCTCTCTCTCTCATCACTGCCTTTCCCATAAAGGTTTTCAAAAGTCCCAGTGTCACACGGCAAAGGCAAATATCCGCTGCCTGACAGGTTCATGTGCTGTCTTGGTGGAATGAATGAGTGAATGAATGAGAGTGGTGCAGGCGCCTGGAGGCTCCCACCTGCCCCTGTCCCAGGCACTGTGTGAGGTTCAAGGAGCAATTGGTGGCCACACCTGCTCCCCAGGAAGCTGGGGTGACCCCCCGTGGGAGGGGAGAGGCGGAGCTGTGATGCACGCCCCCCCATGCAGGAGCAGAAGAAGGCCCTGCAGGAGGAGGAGGAGCGGGACCAGGCGCTGCAGGCCAAGGCCAGCCTGACCATCCCGCTGCTGCCCGAGACCGAGCATGACCGCAAGCTGGCTGGGCTGCTCAAGTTCCAAACGCTGGACTGTGAGTGCAGAGGGGTGCTGGCGGGGAGGGAGGGCCGGGTGGCCCCACGCTGCCTTGACGCCCCCCACCCCACCCTGCCACCCCCTCCTCCACAGCCTATGAGGACAAGCAGAAGCTGAAGCGCTCGGAGATCAACAGCCGCTCCTGGTTCGCGCCAGCAGCGGCCACAGGCCCCGGTCCAGGTCCCAGCCCCGGCTGCAGCAGCAAGGCCAACAGCGTGCTCAAGAAGCTGGCCCACAGCCGCAGGCCCGCGCCCGCCGGCCCCACCATCACCGCCCAGGACCTGGGCATCGTGCGGCTGCCCAGGGCGTCACGGGAAGACTCTGGCGACAGCCCCCCATCTGCAGCTGAGACCCCCAAGGCTGCCAAGCCACAGGAGCCAGCCTCGGCACCCCAAGATTATTCTCAGCAGCACGTGGAGACTAAGGAGCCCAAGGCCCGAGCACCCAGGGGCCAGGAGGGGAGCTGCCGGAAGCCAGCCCCCGCCCCGACCCCGGCCCTGGCCCCTTGTCCAGCACTGCCACCGCCTGGAGCCCCCCGCGAGACGGCCGACCCCACCCCACCCCCCCAAAGCCTGGGTTCCTCCCTGGTAGCTGACTACTCAGACTCCTCAGAGAGCGAGTGAGGGCGGGGCACCAAGGGACTAGGACTGCAGACCCCCGCCCCGCCTTCCTGCCTGCCACACCCCGGGGGCGTGTGCCTTGGGACACCAGTCCCCCCGCACACACACACACACACACAAGCACTGTCACTTTGCCCTTCCTCGATGGCCCAGAGCCTGCCCTGCTGCACCCCACCAAGCTCCCCCTCCCCAGTGGTCGGAGTGCCGTGGGTTTCTGGGGTTTGGCCTGGGATCCGGGGTGAGCTGCACAGGCTGAGCAGGGAGGGGTGGGGATGAAGGGCCGCGGGATGGGACCTGCCCTCAAGGCGCTGGCGTGGACCTCTCCTGAGTCCCCCAAGTCCGTGGGGAGTGGACTCTGCAAGGGCGTCGTCGCTGCCTTTGCAGAAATAAAAACACGGGTGAGAACCACCCCGTAGTATGCCTGTCTCAGCCCTGGGGCAGGAGTGGGCATTTAAAAATACAGAGGGGGGACAACGGAGAGTACCCCCTGCCCCCGGAGTCAGACGGTGCTCGAGTTTGCCAAGACCCTCTGGCAGGTGGAAGCTGGCGCAGGCCCCTCTGCCAGCCACGGGATGCAGCGGCCGGAGGTTCCCTGCGCCAGCGCCTTCAGGCTGGCCTCCTGGGATTTGGGAGAAGCAGGCTGTGTGATTCCCACACACCCAGTTCTAGGGCTGCTGCGCGCCTGTGCGTCCGGCTCCGGAGCTTTCCCCGCCCAGAGACCTGGTCCCGCCCCGTTCCCGTGCGTCCCGGGCGCACGCGCTGCGGAAGGCGGCCGAGCGCGCACGGCGGCTACCGAGGCCATGGCGCTGGAAGCCATCCGCTCCTCCCGGGGCTCGCTGCACATCCTGGACCAGCTGCTGCTGCCGGGGCAGAGCCGCTACGAGGCGGTGGAGTCGGTGCAGCAGGCCTGGGAGGTCATCCGCGCCATGAAGGTGGGAGCGGCGCGGCCTGGGCGCGCACGGTGGCGGCGGCGGGGAGGAGAAGGGCCCGACGCGCAAGCCCACCGCATCTCTGTTGGCCCCGGCAGGTGCGCGGGGCCCCAGCCATCGCCCTGGTGGGTTGCCTCAGCCTGGCCGTGGAGCTGCAGGCGGCCGTCCTGCCTGTACCTGCACCCCAACAATAAACCAGGCTGTTCCGCCCCGCGGTCTGGGGGAGCAGTGAACTGGGGCACCACCACGGTCAGGGGCCACTGGGGAGGGGGTGCTGTGGACTGGGGGGCCACCAGAGTCGGGGGTCCCAGGACATTTTTTTTTAATTACATTATATTATGTGACACAGTTCTATAAGCACAGGGATTCCCCCCACCCCTCCCCTAACTCTCCCCCCATGGTGGGTTCCTCCCCCCCCACATCCCGTTCCTAACCACAGTTCAAGTTTAGTTGAGAT